GTGAAGAAGCCAAGTCATTGTAACCACACATTTTATCTAAGCAGACACCCAGACTAAAAGTGAAGAAGCCAAGTCATTGTAACCACACATTTTATCTAAGCAGACACCCAGACTAAAAGTGTAGAAGCCAAGTCATTGTAACCACACATTTGATCTAAGCAGACACCCAGACTAAAAGTGTAGAAGCCAAGTCATTGTAACCACACATTTATCTAAGCAGACACCCAGACTAAAAGTGTAGAAGCCAAATCATTGTAACCACACATTTTATCTAAGCAGACACCCAGACTAAAAGTGTAGAAGCCAAGTCATTGTAACCACACATTTTATCCAAATACCCCCCCCCCCTAGATTAGAAAAATGTTTTCATTTTATTGGAATATTCCAATATAATTTCTGCTCCTTTTAATTGATACATTTCAGTCACGTTATCTAATTAAACTATATATAAGCTGAATTGACATTATATATGTATGTTATATGACCATCATTTTATTGAACATTTTACCTGACTAACCCAGTTTGCTTATAATAAGATCTCACAAGTTCCAATAGGAAGTTATTCAGGAACTTTAGTGTTTTTCAAGTTTCAGTAATTAGATAAAGTAGCCCTGTTACACATCGTGATAAAGGTAACAACATAGAAAGTACATAGACTGAAATTTTGTTTTAAAGCTCAAGCTTTTCAATATGTTAGCATATTATTAGATCACTTCATAAATAAAACTAACTTTCGAAAGTATTGGACTTATTATTGATGTTTTGTTTTTATAGGTCGAGAGCTAGCATAGTGGATGTTAAGCGGATATGTTTTTTTTTCTGCTTAGTATTTACATTTAGATGTCGGTATAGCAGTGTCCTTAGATCTTTGAAACAGGAAATACACGCTGAGTTAATTCGGAAACGGAAATATCGTAATATTAAGTCAAATTTAACTAACTTTGGTAAAAAAAAAACTTTGGCTTTGAATAAATTGATAAAATGACGGAAAACACATTTTTTCCCTATAAAAATTTAAATCTTATTCCTATTTCTCCCAAGTGGCTCAACGATAAGTATAGCTTACAGCTCTAAGAATAGGGTTTCTATACCCGTGGTGGACAGATCACAGATTGCCCATTGTGTAGCTTTATGGTTAACAACAACCAAACCAAAGCTGTTACTACTGTGATTCAAAAACCACATTGAGCCAAGGCACTTTCACTTATCTTACTGTTACAGCTATGAAAAAAATCATTGATATGTTACAGGCTTTCTGTAATTATAGTTCTGCTTGAACCACCATAAAAATCGTTAACATTTTGATCTGATTCACATAAGCTACATTCCACAATAACTCAATGCTTACAGAACCGTATATGTAGACGTAGGAAATGGTTGTTGCGATAAAATGTTGCTGTAATACAAGTTTATTTTATATTTTCTAATTTTCAGTCTTATATTACAAATATATGCACAATATTCAATCTTAAATAACAGCCCCCCCCCAGTGACACAGCGGTATGTCTGCGGACTTACAACGCTAGAAACCGGGTTTTGATACCGTGGTGGGCAGATTACGGATAGGCCATTGTGTAGCTTTGTACTTAATTACAACCCACTTAAATGATATAAGAAGAATCTAGATTATTATGCATAAAACTTTATTTCTTAATACCAAAGCACCGTACACGAATAACTTAGTTTCTGTATTAATTAAATCTCAGGGCCCGGCATGGCCAGGTGGTTAGGGTGATCGACTCGCGAGCTATGGGTCGCGGGTTCGAAACCCCGTCCCGCCAAACATGCTCACCCTTTCAGCCGTGGGGGCGTTATAATGTGACGGTCAATGTCACTATTCGTTGGCAAAAGAGTAGCCCAAGAGTTGGTCACCGGTGGTGACGACTAACTGCCTTCCCTCTAGTCTTACACTAAATTAGGGACGGCTAGCGCAGATAGCCATCGTGTAGCTTTGCGCGAAATTCAAAAACAAACAAATTAAAACTCAAAACTTGTATTTTTAGTTTCAGTGTGAGATGGTATAAATTTAGGCTATTTATTTTTTTACGTATCATTAAGATA